ATTTCAAAATTGTAGAAATTGTGCTGAACACTGGAATTTGACACAACACTGTAAAATGATTATGAATCAATAAAAAATGTAAAAAAAATTAAACTAACTTTACATTCATGGAATAAACCCCACTTGTTCATGGTGCATTATTCCTTCCATATATTCTTTTATTCTATTTATGAATATTTTCTTGGAGATATTCCAACGTATTTGTGTCCCTGTGCCCATGAGGGATATTGGCTTCTTGTACTTTCTCTGGCTTTGGTGTAAGATTAATGACGACTTCAAAAATAAATTGAGAAATGCTCCCGTCTCTTCTACTTCTGGGAAGAAATCGTGTAGAATTGATGCTATTTTCTCTTTAAGTTTTTGCTAGAATTCACCAGTGAAATTACTCAGGCTTGGGGTTTTCTTTTTCACAGATTTTAAACTACCCAGGAAATTTCTTTAATTGTAGTAAGAATATTTAGTTTCTTTATTCTCAAGTGAGTTTTGGTCTTTCTAGGAATTGTTCTATTTCACCTAAGGTGTCAAATGTATAAGCATAGAGTAGCTTTTAATTTCTGTAGTGTCTGTAGTGATATCCCCTCATTTATCTTCATATTGGTAATGTGTGCCGTCTCTCTTTATTTTATGGGCGCATTGGCTAGAGACTTATTATAATCATTTTTAATGAATTCATTTTTGGTTTCACTCATCAGTGTTCTCCATTGCTTTTCTGTTTGAAATTTTATGTTTTTCTTTTCTTATTTTTACGTACTTACTTCTGCCTGCTTTGAGTGTATTTTGCTCTTCTTTTCCTAATTTATTGAGGTGAAACTTCAATAATTGACCTGAAACTTTTCTTCATTTCAAATACAAGCATTTAATGTATAAATTTCCATTAAAATACTGCATCCCACAAAATTGGTATGTTTTATTTTCATTTTCATTCAGTTCAAAATATTTTCTAATTTCCTTTGCAACTTCCTCTTTGACTGATGGGTTATATAGAAGTGTGCTGCTTAATTTCCCAATGTTTACAGATTTTCCTGTTATAATTCTGTTAACTTGTAGTTTAATATCATAATGCTCAGAAAAAAATATTCTGCATTATTTCAATTCTCTTAAAATTTTGAATGTCTATCTCGATGAATGTTCCATGTGCACTGCTCTTACTGGGTGGAGTATTCTATAAATGTCAAATACATCTAGTTGGTAGAAAGGTGTTTTACAGCTCTTTTAATTTTTCTGCCTGTGTGTTCTATTAATTACTGAGTAATTAGGGAGCAATTGGTGGATTACCACCATGAGTAGGTAGGTGCTGTTTTGCAGGGGAGGCCTCTATATTTTCTTCATTTCAGGAGGGAATGTGAATTCTTAACAGAGCGGAGTGTGCCAGCTCTTATAGACTCAGAGTGAGTCAGAGGACTTAATATTTTGGGGTCATTAACTCAGATGTCTCCACCTCTTACAACAGATTCTCACTCTTTTATAACAAGAGCTGCGGTCTTGGCATAGCAGATCTGCCTTGGTTAAAAGGTTGACCTTCCTGGAGATCATCTAATATGAAAGTTAGACCTTGATCCCAGGACTCAGTTTTCTCTGCCCTTTCACTGCAGTAAATGAGAACCTCATTATATGCTACCAAAGAAGTCCTTTTATTTTAACACTTCACTTTCAATTTCCTACTAATAACTCTCAGCTTTTTCTTTTTTAAAGCAATGACTTTATACCAATAGCCTCTTAATTCTATTGTTCTTATGGCTGTTATTTTCTCCACATTTCTCACATACTTGATACATCACATCAGCCAGTGCATTCTCTTCCTCTGGTACATCATCCCAATGCACCACTGGTGAAGGTTTTAACTGTTGGGCCACTGCTTTGTGCCAAAGACTCTCTGTGCTTCCTTCACCACCAGTGATGTGGACCTCATTGCTAGATGAGCAGTGAATCATCTAGTTCTAAAACCCCATCTTATTGTATGCTTTCTGAGACCTCTCCTGGTACTAACTGTTGCAGGTGAAGTTTCTTTGGGACCCACACCATGGAAGGGAGAGGAAGGAATCAGGAGTAGGCAGGGAGACAAGTCAAGCTGTGATGCAGGCCAAATGACAACCTCAGTAGACCCACGGCTTCCCATGAGAAGTCCCGAAGTTGTCTGAGTGGCATTGAGATGACCAAACATTGTACTCCTGCATCTGTAAGTGACTAGCAGCTGGCCATGTGGGAAGGAGTGTCACCTTGGGAGAGGAGGTTCTCTGCAGCTGAAGCAATCCATGAAGATAATGACAGCTGAATTGTTTCTGAAGATAGCACTCCCAGAAGCCGCGGGCAGCAACTCCTCCACTGAAGGGGGATCTTAACAGTGCATTACAACATACATCACAGGGGGCATTCTAGTGTTTTATTTTCTGGGACACATATAGCAGCCACTGGTGAGAATACTTGCTTTCAGCATAAAGTCCCAAGAAGTTCTACTGAAACAAACTGAAAAATGTATATACACAATTCAGAGAGAGATTACAGCAGGGATGGAACATGAATAAAGGAGTTAAGAACAAGTCCCAGACTTCTCTGTTAAACAAATGCATAGGTGATGGTGTTACTTACTGAGATAAGGAACACTGGAAGGTTTTGCAGCAGTGGAAGAAGAGGAAAATGAGCATGTTAAGAAGCGACAAGAATGTTCCTACTAAGATCCAATATTTATTGCTTGTTTTGTGCTTAGCACTGTGCATTTCACATATATTTAATCTTAATAACGGTATGAAACAAAGCCTATTATTTCACTTGCATAATGGAAATGTCTGAAGAAATAATGGCCAAAATTTCTTAACTTGGATGAAAAATTTGAATCTACACATTCAAGAATTTAAACAAATCCTAAGTAGTTTTAACACAAAGAGATCCACACTTAACCACATTATGGTCAAACTATTCAAAGTTAATGACAAAAAGACAATTTTGGTAGTGGCTAGAGAAAAATGATGCATTAGATACAAGGGGTCAACAAAGGATTAACAGCTGACCTCTCATGAAGTCGGTACTCCATTCCATAAAAACAGTGCGGTCTAAAAGGCACTCATGTCATATATTCAAAGTGTTGAAAGAAAAAAAAATCTGTCAAAGAATTCTTTATCTAATATCTTTCTCTTTTTATGGTTCACGAACTATCTTTTACTTATTAATAATTGTGACTTTTCCTCATTTGGGAATGTTAAGAAAACTACGAATGAACTTTTGGCTTGAAGAAAACAGGGAATTTAGTTTACTTTGGTTTAAGGACACCCAGACTAACCAGACTAGTTCATTAGATTACTATATAAAAGTTTGAGGCCTTGGTCTTTTGCTTGGGGCTGCTCTCAGCATACTGGAGGCAATGACAAACAGGAGAAGAAATTTACCATCTGAATATTCTCATAATACTATATATAAAAAAAAGACTCCTTGTGTACTCATTATGGTTCTTTTCTCATGCCTGAAGACTGTGACATGGTTTAGGGTTTATTGTCTCAGTCTAAGTAAGTTAGGGCAGGAAAAAAAATCTCAAGGTAACATTCATGAAATGTTTAATCCTAGGCAACTGAGAAAAGTTCTTTCTATTCCATGGTGCACAAAAAGATAAATTTATTTTGGTTGGACATGTCTTGGACCAGACATCTTCTGTTTGTAGTAGTAAAATCTGTATGAGTTCTGGTAAATAAAATAGGACTTTTGTCTTGTTATGTTGTTCTAGGCATTAATTAGCAACATAACGCAGGCAACTAAAATGCTACTCATACTAGTCAGAATTCCAGGTGGAAGCAAAGGTCATTGTGGTCTCTAGATATCCTCCCTTCTGAAATACTAGAGTTATGCAGGCTTAGAGAAATTCATGGTCAGTATCTAGAGCCACCGTGGAATAGCACCCACAGACAGGATTAGGATGAATGAGAGGAAGTTACAAGGAGACAGATGGAGGTTTGCTGCCTCAAGAGATGTTCAAGTAAAGACCACTGGGAATTCCATTACCTAATGAATGGATCATTAAAACAAAACAAAAAAAATCCTAGGTAAAACTCTGAGATGATGGGAAATCATGAGAACTATTTCAAGCAACAGTTAACAATCTTGACAGGCAGAGGCCATGAAGCCCTGTGATCCTACATAGATTTAAGAAGTCTAATCCATAATTACAACCAAATGCATCCCAAAGACTCCACATGCAGAAGGCAGCACCTTCTATCACATTCAATCCAAGGCAAATTGATTATTTCCTTGTTGGCAGAGGATTCAAAGTTTAGAACCTGAAATCCAAACTAAGATAAAAGTCTTCTGATTCAAATTATTCTTGGTATAATTGAATAATGTTTTCTTTATAAAGTAATAGAGGTAGGAGTATGTAAATTCATACATTCTGCCCTAACACTGAGCTTTCTTTGAGCTGTATCTACAGTCTACGTTAGTTACTTACCTTCTTGCCTTTCATGAATTTCTTGTAGACATTAAATATAATTTTATGATAGACAAAGTTTTTCAGGTTCCAGAATGTACTTTCCAGACACAAAAGCAACAGCAGATAAATAAGGCCCTGGGCAGCCAACGAAATCAAAAACTTTGTAATCCCGCGTTCTCCAAAACTGTAGATCTTGTTCTTAACAACTGAGGATGATGAAACAGATAGCCTTACTTCAAAAACTGACACGAAGTCTAAGATGACACTAAATATTAAGAAATATAGAGTCAAAATTAACTTTAAGTTAGATTTAGAGAAGTACAGAATATAGAAAGTAAGTAATTGTCTTAATATTTTGTCTCTCTTATTTGATCTTCCCTGGTATTTATGGTTATTATAAAAGCCCTCCTGCCAATGATTTTTTATCTGTTTTTTTATTTAACCAGTTTTGGTAGAAGACAACCTCATTACACAGTCAGTGAGTTTCAACGGCTGAGCCTTTGTGAACAGAATGCTTAGTAATTAAGTAAAGCAAATAAAAGAAAGGCATTTATTGCATGTTTAACTATTATTGAAGGCTATGCATAATATCCTTAAAGACCTTCAGAGTGAGAAAAGTATTTATTCTATAAAGAGGAAAAGCTTTAAATAGTGGAAGTGTATTAATGGCAAAACTTGTAAGGAAGAAAAGAATGATAGTTTAAATGTAAATATGTAATAGCTGATAGTTCCTGACTTTACTAAAAAGAAAATTAACACAAGCAGCTAAATTCTGGATAAGCTAATGGGAAGCATTTCTGAGATGTGAAGATAACAAAATCATTCTCTTTTTAGAAGTTTTGTATTTTCTGTACCAGCATGCAGAAATATAGTTTGTTTTTACTGTAATAAAATACACATAACATAAAATTTGCCTTCTTAAAATACACAATTCATGGCACTGAGTACATTCACAATGTTGTACAATCATCACCACTACCTAGATCCATATTTTTATCATCTCAAAAGAAAATCCAATAGCTATTAAGCAGTCACAGTTACCCCCACTTCTCTAGCCACTGATAGCCCCTAATCTACTTTCTGTGTCTATGGATTTGCCTATTTTGGACAATTTTGTGTGTGTGTGTGTGTGTGTGTGTGTATATAATATATATATTATATACATATATTATATACATATAATAAATATATATATTTACTGAAGTATAGTCAATTTACAATGTTGTGTCAATTTCTGGTGTACAGCATAATGCTTCAGTCATACATGAACATACGTATATTCATTTTCATATTCTTTTTCACTATAATTTACTACAAGAGATTGAATATAGTTCCCTGTGCTATACAGTATGAACTTGTTTATTTTATATATTAGGCATTTTATATAAGTGAAATCATACAATAAGTGGTCTTTTGTGTCTGGCATCTGTCACTTAGCATAATGTTTTCAAGACTCATCTAAGTTGTAGCATATATCAGTAATTCATTTTTCTTATTGTTGAACAATATTCC